GGCCAACAATATTTAGGGCCTATATGCAGTAAATTAGTTGCTTCATCTAATTGGTTTTTTTCACATAAAATCAGCTCTTGAAGAGAATGTCAGCTTTGCAAATATACTCAAGGAACAAAGTGGAAAAGTGCAACCACCCTCCTAACACATCCCCCTTGTTCACAGCAGGGAGGGGGAAGCCTGCATTGTTATAGCAGATAATTGCTCAAGGCACGAGTATGGGAAAATCTTGTTCCAAATTCTGCCATTCCGCATTGCTAAATTTAAAATGCTGGCAAATCCCTTTGGATAGTTAGGATTTTCTGATTTGTACAAAACGCAAGTATGTGTGTAATTTCTTGATAGAAAAATGGTAGTAAGTTTGGAAGTGTAAAAGTTAGTCATACTGGTTTTAACCCAGTTTGTTATACCAGTTCTTTCTGTTAGAACAAAAGCCTTTTTTCTACTAATGTGAGTAACAAGTTCAAGGGAAAAGCTAAGAGCAGCTTGGGCTAAAATGCCCTTATCTTTTCAAAATTACAGAAACATAATATATTACATAGGACAGAGTCACTATACTCTTAATGAATTTTGTATTTGTTCTCAAGATAAGGGGGATGAAATAGAAAAGAAAAAATCATTTGTCTTGAAAGGAGATATAAAGTATACCCAAACCATTTTTACATACAATCTTATCATCAGCCCATTTCGTGGCCACTTGCCACTCTCAGATGCTCTTAATATATTGTACACCAAAGGCAATACTGCTGACACTGAGTTCTGCCACTGCCAAACTGCATATTCATTATTGTTCATAGTCATGTGAGGTCAAGTTCGGTCATTTCAAACAAAGAATCTTTGTCTGGATCTTTACTCCCTCCTCACACAGTTTTTGGTTTCCTAACTTTTGTAATGCTCCTCAATTTGAAAGTTTCTTTTTAAAGAGGATGCTGTGTAGTCTTTTGTAAACATGTCTCCATTACTAAAGTGACATCATGGGAATTGCTGGAAATGAGCTCAGAGAACAGACCCAGGGTAGAGCCGATGTAAAAAGAAGTCCCCTTGTCCCTGCTCCCTCCTCCTCTGCACAGAATTGTCCAGCAAACAGGTACTTTGTTGAACTCCACTGGAAGCTTCATGAGGAATTTAAACCTAGGAAAGACTAATCATTATTTTAGAAAAAAAGAGTCCTGCCAGCTCTTTCTCCTCTGCAGGCTGCTATGCACGAATGTGGTCAGCAGCTTATTCACACAAAGCCAGGGTTCTGCTCATTTGCCATCATATGCAAATCACCTCCCTGGACTCATTGGCATGGCAAACACTTCAGTTTAAGGACTTTAAAAAGATGGATTGCAAAACTCAGGCATGCTGCTGCTCCTACTGAGATCAGTGGGAAGCCTCCCATTGGCTTCAATGGAAGCAGGATAGAATCTCCCTTTTCTGGAAGCAAAACCCAGCAGTATTTGGGCTTTTTGGGGTACATGCAGCTCTGAAAGTCTGTTCCTTCGGGGCATTCAAAAATTTTTCCCATTTGCTTGATTCCATGGCAACACAACATCACCATCAAGCTTTCAATACTGAAATGAGATTTTACTACTAAGCCTGAGGATTTATACAAGTGTAAAAAGACCTTGCTAAGCTAAGTCCCGTTAGACGAATTCAGGATCCTTTTCAAATGGGTGACAAAATTATCTCTGTATTTATTTTAGAGTCAGCCGAGAATTTTTTAAGGTTAGAGAAAGGGGAAAACTGCTCTACAATCATACAAGAAACATTCTTTCATTGTTACACAGAATCACCGTGTTTAAGTAAAACACTGTATCTGTTTACTATCCTTTTCAAAACAGTCTAAAGAATAGCCTAAGCAGTTTTCTCATAAATTATACTAAAATCAGACTCTAGAGACTGCACAAAATTAAGATAAAGCCATTGAGGCTTTTCATCTGATTCTTGTGTTACGTATATCACAGAAATAACTTTTTTGCAACCAGAAAAAATATACCAGTGTAAAAGTGTACAGCGATAAAACATGCCAAAAGCTTCACATTAGGTTTTAATTGTACTATAGTTCATGTCTTATAGAGGGAAGCAAAGCAGACAAGCTGGCTTTACACTTAGTGGCTGAGAGTTTGCTCTGAGTTACACCATAGCACACTGAAAACAAGTGCCCTCTTTGATCCCCTTTTTTTCATGAGTGGAAGGGGGAAAAATCAATGTGATTCTACACCTAGAGAAGGTTAAGTTGTATGTAAGCAGTCTTTTATAAAGTGCCTACTAAGAAGCTCACAAATAACAACACAAACACAGTGAAGCAAATTGTTTGACAATTGTAAGGATTTTAATGGCCTTATGTTTCCTACATTTCCTTAGACTTGATATATAAGCATTCATTGCCGTCTCTGTTATATTCAGTTTTCATGTAATGCAGCTCCTGAATCATCTCCTCCAATGTGATTTCTAAGATGATTCAAGCTCTGACTCCCCTCATTGCACATAGACTCACGCTGGAAGCAATGATCAGGATGTGGGCTGCAGCATTGTGTTGGGACTTTCCTTCCGTGATCTGCTCCTTATACAAAGAGAGTTACAAAAACACAAGAAGTAACACTGGATTTCACTTTTCTGAGTGGAGTTCTGAGCTTCCCCTTCCGAGGCTTCCAGCACCCCTGGGGTCAAACACCACACAACCCTGAGTGTGGGATTTGCTGCTGGTCACCGAATCAAAGGCAAACGTTTCCTTCTCTGGCCTCCCCTAAGGCAATGAGATGTTCATTAAGCAAGCAAAGGGAGCGTAGATGTGACAGTAGCACTGTGACTCTCAGTGACACACGGCCTCCTGCCTCGGCTCTGATTAGCGAAACAGCTACAAATCTGCTCTTAGCTGCAGCAGAGCCAGCTGAAAGCAGAATCTGCCCCCTCTTTCCCAACTGACCTTCAACAAATCACTCCAAGAAAAAGTTGACGTCAAGTCAAAAGCTTTGTTATAAAGCTGGACAGCTAAGGGCTTGTATTTTAGAAGCGGCCAGAGATTCTGGGTATGTTCCTTTGCAAGACCAAAACTAGAAAGTGGGTGTTTAGCACTACTTCACCAGCTCTCCTTCACTAGAACTGACAAATTTGAAATTCCTGGTACAGATTATGAGAAAACTGAATGAAAACTTTACTATGCGAATGTGCTCTAAGAAATACAATTACAGATTTTCCTTTCTTTATACAATGGGTGATGTTTTAGAAAACTATTTGATAGACACAAATATTAGACTGCTTATTGCACAGAAATACATATGAGTTGTACATTTTACTAGCTCATATCTTATTATATTTTTAAATTTGAAAATTAGGCTCCAACATCCACGTTGCCACAAAATATTTTTCCTTGCTAAAGGAGGAAAATTCAGACTCAGAATCCCTTCTAACCCACAAACTGCAGGATGCTCTTTGTAAACTATCAGCGCTAATACTCCAGTGGTATTCCCTGGAGGCACTCAGTCGTGGGAACTAGGGCAGTTCCCCTATGCATGCAGCAGTCAGGTTTCCGTCTATCACATCTCACGCATTTTCTTTTATGTGTGAAAGGCAGTTGTAATTCTTACTTTAAAATTCTCATTTATAATAATTTCAAAACAACATCTAGAAGGAAGACCTTAAGGGGAAAACTAACACCTCGTGCTACTTAAATCTCTAAGCAGAGCATTTGAATTAGGATAAGCGGTATCTTTTATTTTGTCATTTTATTCCTGTATTGCACTGCTGTGATTTGGACATTCAAAGAAGAAATGTAGGCACGAGCCTTCCTGCTGGGCTGTAACTCAAGCCACAGAGAAACTGTCTTTAAATAGCCCAAGAATGCCAAAGCCAAAAAACACTCTCGCTCTTGTTTGGTTACATGCAGCAATCTCAATCAACATTTACTTTTGCGCTCAGTAAAAGGCAAACTGGTACTGCTGCAAGGCCGGGAAGGCGGATCGATACCTGTCCCGAAATTTCCACAATTGTTCTCAGCGGCAACTCTGAATCGCTGCAAACCCATTTAAACACCATTTCACATCACTTTTCCAGCGTTTTCCTGTTGGGCAGCTCTCAGATTTGAGAGTTACCAGCCGTGAGTCGCTGCTCTCTCTGGGCTGGGGCAGGGGGCGGTGGGAGCGGTGTTGAACCATGCGGCGGCGGCTGCGGGCAGGGCCGAGCACGGGCCCCGCGGCTGTGAGGGCAGCGGAGGGGCCGGGCAGGGCCGCGCTGCGGGCCGGGCGCTCAGGAAGTCGCGTCAGGCGCGGCGCCGCGGCGGGCCCGGCGGGAGGGCTGGGGCAGCAGCGGAGCCCGCGGTGAGCGCGGGTGCGGGCCCGGGGCCGGCGGCGGTGCGGCTGGAGCGGAGCGGAGCGGGCGGCAGGCGGGGCGGCGCGGGCCGGGCCGGGCCGCACGGGCGGTGCTGCCCCCGGCGGCGGGGCGGGGCAGCGCAGCGGCTGCCGCGTGGCGGGAGGGGCGGTGCGGCCGGGGCAGCGCGGGGCAGCGGCGGCGGCAGCAGCAGCAGCAGCAGCGGCGGTACGGGGGACGCGGGCCGGAGAGGAGCAGCGCGGGCCGGGCGGCGGGCACGGGGCCAGGTGGGCGAGAGGAAGCTCGGCCATCCCCGCGGGGCTCCGGGGGCCGGTGGCTATCCGCGGCCGGCGCCCGCCCCTCGCGGCGGCCGGGGAGGCGCGGGGCGGCCCCTTGGCAGCGGCGGTGCCCGGGGCGCTGCGCACTCCCCACCGCGCTCAGCGGCGCGGTTTTATTTATAGCAGGTCTGGTGAGCGGCGGGGCTGGAGCCCGGAGCGCTGCCGAGGGAGCCGCGGTGAGCCCTGTGAGCCCGGAGCGCTGCTGGAGCCCGCGGGGATGGCGGTGGCCGGCAGGTGAACAGCGCCAGCGCCGCAGCGGGAGCGGGCGCTTCGGGGGGCGGGTTGGCTCACAGGTAGGTATGCGGCTGCTGCTGCTCAAACGGGCTTTTAATTGCGTATTTCTTAAAGTTCATCTTTTGCGTGTACCGGTGCAGCCAAGGTCACCTTGAGCACGAGGGGGACGCATTTCGGTTCCAGCGTTTGAGGTTTCTAGGCTTTTTTTTTGGTATTTATTGGGAGGGCTAGATAGTAATTTGCCTGAGGACTAATTTAAATAAAAGGCGGATCGAATGTAAGAGCCAGCAAAGATAAAGGGATGACTGAGGTACTTAGGCTGTGCGAGGATATGCATGGTTATACTGGCTCAGACTGCAGTTTGTAGTGGGAGCTCTCTGCGTGCAGGTATCACGGGATGGGTTTGTGGCAACTTGGGGAAGGCACTAAGAAAGGCAAAAACGTTGGACTAAAGTTTTAGATCTCGCTGTTGCAGATGTTGGCTTAGCATGCTAGGTGGGAACAGTCTCATGGCCCAATTTGGACCATGGTAGAAGTTTCCTTGCAGCGACACATGGAAGAGGAGGTTTTGCCTCTTTACAGTTTCTCTTGGTGAAAATGCTGGGATTCCTATTTTGGTGGCTCTCAACAACAAAGCAGTTTATTTTGTAGTCTTTTGCAAATACACTGTACAACACTAAGTTGTTTTAGTATGTTCGCCCTTCCTTTTTTCTTTGGCCAAGGGAGAATTATTTACTGTGCTCATTATATTATCTACAAAACTTCAATTTCAAATTAATAGTTCAAGTTTAGATTTCTGTACTGCTCTTTAATCCCACAAGACTGAAATGTCAGCACTGTGTTCACATTTAGAGGTGTGCTTTTTTTACAGAGAACTTCCCAAGGAATTCACAAACTAGTTTGACTACAGCTAGACCAGACACATAAAATATACTGTGAGATAGGCTTAGGTGAGAACATTAATGACAGTTTTTGTAGATCATAGATGTCCTTGAGAAGCAAATTATGAAAGAGCAAGGTCACAGTGCAAGAGAATAGTAAACTTATGAAAGTGTCTGACATGCGTATGTTATGGCTGCAGGGTTTAAACCATGCAGTAAAGAACAGTGGAAAATTACAAAGGCGCTATAGTGACCTGTTCTGGGAAGAAAAGCATGCAGGAAGCTGTGTTTATGGAAGTCAAATGTGCTGGGGTTTTTAGCATATTAAAATCATGCTGATTTCTACCTGCAAGGAAGCATCTTTGGAACTGAACTTTTACTGAAGGGTGAAAAAATACCAGTTTGGTAATTTATTGCTAGATGCCCTAGATGCTAGATGCCCTCTCTGAAACTAGGTATGTGTTTCTGTGCATACATATAAATATAAGAATATATAGCTAAAAATAATATATATTTGCACATGCTATTATTTTGCAGTGTGTGATCTTCAGTTCAACTCTTGTGTCATGGATGAAACTGCTTTGTCCCTTGGAACAATAGATGTTTCCTATTTGTCCACCTCAGCAGACTGCAGCATCAGTAGATGTAAGCATTCCAGTGAAGAGTGGGTAAGTAAAAATTGGGAATGTTACTGGCCATATTTATCTTATTATTTCTTCAAGTTGGAGGTGGACTTTTTATTGTTATGAAGATAAAGAATATTGTCTTTCATGCACGATACAGTTTGGTTTTAATTTAATTTGAAACATAAGGAGGAACCAAAAGTTCAATCCTGTGCCAAAGAATAATGTTGCTAGAAAAGAAAAATCCCATCAAACTCTATTGATAGTCTAACAGTCTTCTGGTGTGTTGTTGTTAATAATTTTATATAGCAGTAAATGTACAGAATTCCATTCTGGAGTAGCCAAAGTCAAACAGAAAGTCAGGTGGGAAGCTTGTTGCTCTTCTGGGTGATGTAGTTTAAAGTGTGCAGGTGAAAGAGAGCTTGATGCTGAAGTTGCACAGTCATATAGGCATCGAAGCTGGAGCTTTCCATGCAGTCCAGGAGGCAGAAAAAAATTGGTGGATATAAATAAGGAGCCTATTAAAAGTCTGTGTCCTCCATTGAGTGAGCCTTGGGATTTTGAGGGGACAAAGTAGGCAGTGAGCAGAGTGGTCTGGGTGGAGCCAAAAGAGCCACATGGGGACTGAGGTGGTGGTAGCTGGTTTAGCAGCATAGGTCAGGAGGAATTAAACATGGATCTGGAGAGGAGGAGTTTGAACTTGATACAGAAGAAGAATTGGAAACATGGTCAGAGTTGAGGGAAAGGGCAGATGTCTTGACAGCTGGGATTTCTATCTAGCTAGATCTAAGTTCCATGGAACAGCAAGCTTACAGACCAGGGGGTCTGTGAGAAAGTGGAATAAGGACAGGCAAGTCAGAAGAGATAGAAAGGAGGTTTTGTAGGAAAATGCTGGAGATGTACGTCAGGGGTTGGAACAAAGTTGGTTTGTTTTGGAGTTAGCATTAGGTGATAGAGAAGGGATTGTGGCAGGCTTAGCATCTTGATACTTATTTCAGATGGAAGAGTTAGCCTTGGAGTATTTGCCAGTTCATGCTGCTTGCCAAATGTGATACATGCACAATTTAAGTTTTTAAGCATTTTCAGCATTTCTTTTGACTTTCTGGGAGTTTCTCATGGGGCTGAGTATGTGATGGTCTGTATTTGTGTCTTCCAATCTTGGTTCTACCCTGCTGCTCTACCACTTAAAAGTTCTATTTTAAGCAACATTTTGGGTTTGGTTTGGTTTGTAACTTCTCTTTTTATACTGGAAGTAACTTTCCTTTCAATAAAATATGTGGTTTAAAAATGGCAACCCAGTTCTCATTCTCAGGCAAGCAACAATTCAGTAGACTTTAATGGAAAAAATCAAGGTCTTTGAATAACTATAATTTTTGCTTTATGTCCTAACATAGAGAATGAGTTCTGTGAATGCAGTCACTCTGGATTTTTTTGTTCTGTAGTCTTCAGATAGACAGTGTAACTTTGGAGAAGGCACAGGGGTTCCTTTTTCATGTCACTCTGCATGAAACTGCTGAAAGTGCCTACAAAGTCCATGGAGTGAATATTTTGGATACATTGAGTCTTCTTGCAGTTTTACAGGGTGATGTTCAGTCGACTCTTAAAATACATTGCTCATATTGCAAGCACCTTTACATTATTGAGAATGTAGTGTTCTGTTAATTTCTTTCAGTTTTCTCAGCTGGCAGTTTCTTTGGTGTTTCGTACCTACAGTTATCATTCCTTTTAAAATTTTGTGTGTCAGCCCATGCAGCAGTGCTTAGATACATACAGATCTTGCTTTTTTTTTTTAATTTTAGAACTGTGCTGGAAAAAATTGTGCTCTGTTTAATTGAGGGGTAATTTGTTGTGTGTGTCTGGCAACTCCTCTTCCTCCAAGCTTTCTCATACAGTGTGGAACACATATTTCTGCATATTTACACAGTGGTCTTTTGTTTTGCAGGGAGAGTGCAACTCTCGTCCCACTCTGTTCCGATCTGCCACTTTAAGATGGAAGGAGGCTCTGCTGAGCAGGAAAAGGCCGTTTGTGGGACGATGTTGCTATGTATGCACTCCCCAGAGCCGGGTAAGAAGATTACTGCATGGATTATGTTTGACAATAATGCATAGTTGCAGCATAGTGAAGTTGCAGTAGTTTCCTTACTTTCAGAATTAAGGTCACAATGTTTTTACTCTATAAAGTGCTGGAAGTTTTCACTGTTGTTTTTGTTTACCTTTAATTTGTCATGGAATTACACGAAAGCACACACCTGTTTTGATGCTTAGTTTCCCACCTCTCAGTGCGGACTTAGTCCTTGCACAAAACTCTTCAGCTCCTCAGAATTATTACTAGGAAATAAGACAGCAAAATTTTCTGGTGTGTTCGATTAATAATGGAAATTTGGAGCATATAAAAGTGTGAAAGTTTGCTTTTACGACATTCTAATTCTCTATCCACAGAATACATACAGTTTGGAAGCTAAGCAATATGCTTCCTTTCCAACTTGTTCAGTCCTGTACTTGAGAGAACAGGTTAATTCCCTACACCTGGCTGATTCCTTGCCTCTCTGCTCAGCCTGGAAACAAGGACTGCCAGTTGTGATGGTGGGGATATTTGTCTGCTGGGAACAGTGTCAAGGTGGTGGCTCTAGAGAGGTTGTGCAATTTAAAATGTGAACTTTATTGAACAGTGTTGGGCAGGCTTTCTGTAAGCTCAAGATGCAAAATGCTGATAAATGGCACAGTACGGTTTGCAACCAGTTCATCATGTAATTTGGCTATGTGTACACCCTGGGCTTTAGATTGCACTCAGTTACATCTTCATTGGTTGGGCTAGAGGGAAAATTTGCTTCTCTCTTCCACCAAAGAGAAGTTGTTATTTCACTCTGTTCCTCTGCCAGAACAGAAAATTGCATCAATGACATACAAATGTGGTATAGAAATCCAAATGTACTGTGAAGGCTGTGTATAATATGGGCAACAAGACAAGCAATTAGATAAACTGAGACTACTTCAAACAGACGAGTCAAGTGTTTTGACTTATGAAAAGGTGTGTGTGAATCCTCAGCTTAGGGCTTTATACATTTAGTAATTAGCCTGTTAGTAATTAGGCTATTCCTCTCAAACCAAGAATTATGCTTTAGAAATAAAAATCTTGTTCTGTATTTTATCCATTTAATAAGAGACTAATTAACTATCCTGAGATCCCACTTAGGAAAGGGGCATGACTTATTAAGCCCTTTGTTGCCTTCTATAAGGAAAAAAATACCATCCTTGCACAGACAGTAACAAAGATAATCCTCTCATTAGATTCCAAATGCTTTTTTTTGGAGCTGCCTTTTTCATTATTTTTCTTAAACAGAAGGAATTAATGAGTCCAATTTCTTTAAGTGTGCTGCCCAAACTAACAACTTGCCAATGCTGAGAATGGGAAGTCTTGCTTCTCCCTCTCGTTTTCCTTCCTGCTCTCCTGAGGGCTGATCAAGTTCACTAACCAAGCAGAAAACTATCTGCTTTATTCATTTAGTCTATCTTAGTTTTTTGTCTTGTCTGCATGAAGTTGGGATATTAAAGGATATAATGAATGCTAGAGGTCCTGTAAGTTAAGAGGTGAGTTGTAGAGATCAGCAGAAAAGGCCAGGATGTGGTGGTGGGAGCTGGACTTCTTCTTTGTGCCAGTAGAGAAATCCTGTATTGCTTCAGTTGGTCTCAAAGAACCACATGCTCTGCCTGACACAGGATGGGAGAAGAGTTAAATAAGGAAAAGCTAAAGTGTGACAGTACCACTGGAGGATGAGTTTCATAATGAGGTTTAACCTGGCACTTAGAGCACTGGTATGGACTGGCATTCATTGGTACTTAACTTGTTTGCTGATTGTTTGGGAGACCAAGAACAAGTCATTTTGCTTCTCTTTGCCAGAACATGTCATCAGCTTATAAGATCCACAAAAATTCACCAGTGTATAGGAAAGAAATTAGCATAACATTGAAGTTTCCTCTTAAGACCTTAGAGCAACGATTGGTTGATTGTACAGCACAGTTGTGCTTCAACAGGAAGCAGAGGACTCTCTGCTCTCACTGTAGCATATAATTTCTACCTGATTTGCAAATAACATAGGACAGTCATGCATTTTAATTTTGTGGTAAATGGTGTGTCCTAAACAAAATACAAACAAATGACTCCTACCTGATCCCCATTGCAGAATTGATGGTGAGGCTGTTTTGCAGCTCTGCTGTTGCTGGTGACCATCTTTCTCCTTTGCTGTCCTTTTTCTGTCTTCTTTGGCATGTACAGTTCCAGTAGTTTTAGCTGCAGTTCACTGCTGGCAAGGTGCCAGTTTTATAATTATGTATAATTTGAGTAGAAAGAAATCAGCCTATTGGTCAAGGTATTCACTTGGACTATGGAAGAGTAGAATTTAGGTCTTCCTGCTAAGGAATATTTGTTGTGGAAGTGCTCCTGAACTCATCCCAGTTAATAGCTTGGAGTGGAGTCTGTGACAAGGCTCTACAAGGCTGGACTGAGTTCCTGCTCAGGCAGAGCAGGAATGTGGAGATTTGCCACCTAACCATGGATGGATATCCTGACCCTTGGGCTTGTTACATGATTGCCTTGGTTGTTACATGATGCTTGGTCTGCTGGCAAACTGTATGCTGCAGACTGAGTGGCAAATGCTTGTGGTTACACTAATGCCCAGTGTGGCTTAATAAAGTTCTGTCTCAAAGATGACTTCTGTATTATATACAGACAAGTCCTGGTCTATATTACATCAGGATCTGATGAAATGTTCTGGCTTGAAAAGTGTAACCAGTACAACCACACAGTGAAGCCTAGAGAATGCTTTGGAAGTATTAGACTTGGGAATAGTTATTTGAATTCCATTTTCATTTTAGAAGTTTGTGTACTGTATAGGCAGGTTCAACATTTCTCTGGTTTTGGCTTTGCTTATAATACAAATGAAAAGCATTGCATTGTCTTAAATGTTATGATGAATGTAACAGACAAAGCTATTTTTATGTAATGAAATAGTCCCTCAATCTTTTTTTTCCTTGGTTTTACAGGATAACTTCTTCAATTCTAGTATTCCTTCTTTGGGTCTACGTAATGTCATATACATCAATGAAACACATACAAGGTAATGTAGCAAAGGTTTCTTTTGCTTTTAAAATTCAATGTGCCCTGATTTTATGACAGAGAAGCCTGTATTATGGTCTGGACTGAGTTGATATATATTGTGGTCCTGAAATGCAGAAATATGGTGCTGACTTCAGTTGTGTGCTTGTTAAATCTGGCTGTGTGTTTTTGGGAACTGGGCGAAGTCCTTTGGGGTTTAAACAAAGAGTGTAGGGGTCAAACCTGTTTCACAAAAGACCTAGAATTTTTTTCACAAAAAAAGTTCTTTCTCCTTTTGTGCAAATGGCAGCATCTGGAGCATAATATTGAGGGGGCTTATTCTTTTATGTAGAATGACTTCAGGCTGCACTTTCATCTACTGAGCAGATCTGGCTCACAACTTAGGTGTTGGCTATTACCACTTATGGCAATTAAACCTGAATATGTCTTATGAATCTGTCTCTTTTCTGCCTTAGTGGCAGAGTGCAGCTTCTGAAAAGTGCAATATAAATGAAAAAAAATCTGAAAAATGCAGATGTGTCTTTGTGCTATTGGAATCACATCTTGTGTTCTGCGATGAAGATACTGGAATTGTACAAAAATATTCTGTTCTTTGGAAAGTTAATAATGCTTGCTAAGTTGTTTTTTTTTTTTTTTTACAGTAATCATTAGCATAAGCAGGTCGTGCAGTGTTTGTTGTAGAGTCAGAGCAAACAAAGAGAGGCCAGCAGCCTGAAAGAAATGAGCCAAAGTGTCTGAGTGAAAGGCAGCATTGTGCGTGCTTGAGAGGGAGAAAGCTAATGTTGAAGGCTGTTCTTTATTAAATTTGAATTAATTATTGTTTTTTTAAGAGATGAGCTTGTAGTTTGGAATACAGAAAAAATAACAGAAATACTGTTTTAACTTTTTAAAATTAGTTTCGAAAGTCTAATGCTCGAATGGTTTTGAGTGATCAAATTTACTTGAATTGGAAATATGAGAAAAAAAAAATGGGTTAATGAATCAGTCTGAAATAAACACATCTAGCGCAGAATAGTGAGAAATACAGTGTCATTATAGTGTGAAAATGGATAATTTTAATGAAGTTCTGAGGTCTCATGGGGCTACACAGTCACAGTTTCCTGGCCTTAAAGCAAGAGGGATTCTCTAACTGCCAGCACGCTGTAACTGTATTGACAGCCTTTATCTGAGGTACAACTGCCAGCTTTAAATGTCTCTTGACTGGTCCATTCTGTGTTGTTTTTGTCTTCTCTCATTGCTGCATGATCAGAAAACAGATGTTTCTAATTAAACTACATTATGTCTAAGCTGTAAAATGAATGTAGGAGCCTTCATACCTTGATAGATCTCTGTAATAGCTGTGTGCTGTTCTGATATGTTCACAGTTACAAAAAATATTTTTGTCTTATCTTTGCTTTCTAGAAAAATCAGTAAGGCTCTCAAAGAGAAGGGGTATAAAGGAAAAAAAGCAGTTAAAACAGAGTCACCAGTCTTCTTCTCTGACAGCACGAATAGCTGGTCTGAATATTTATGTAATCATTCTGTGCCACTCTATGCCCATGCCTTGTGCATGTGCACCAGTCTTAATTACAGTGCACTCAAGGGCTTTGGCATTTTGCAGTGTAAAAGTTCTGTCTCATCTTTCCTTGCTGTTTTTAACACGTGTATAAATTTACTGAAATGTGGTAGGGAGGTTTAACAGCCAGGATCAGTAACTCAGGTGATGACAACGGGTGAGATGTTGGCGGCGTTCCAGCGTGGAAACCACCATGAGCTTTGTCACCCACGTGTCAGTTTGGGGCACTCTCTGGAGCAGCAGCCAGGCATTGCACCAGCACACCTCAGGACAGGGCTTTTGCATAATACTTACTGCTCTGGGCTTAGGAATTGCCAGAATTGATTTTTTCATCCAGCTGTTAATTCTGCCCCATCACATCAGATCTGCTGTTTGGGGGTCCCGGGTGTTTGCTTTGTGTAAGTGGTGGCTTGTCCACTGCTGGCCTGGTAAATGAGGGAGGTTAGGAGAGGAATAGTGATGAATATCCACTGTGGGGTGTAAGCTATTCCTGTGTCACATGCATCTTCTGTGATGTTTGATATTCCAAATAACATTTTCTCAAGCGATTTCTGCTTGTATGATTGAGGCAGTAGAGGACAGGGTTAATTTAAAAAGAAGAGGCTGTCTTCATAAGTTACTTTAAACACTTGAATTTGTAGTGAGATTTAGTGATTATTTTGTGGTTATATTCTTGCTAAAGCTTTGCTAGGAGAAGGTATGGAGAAGACATATAGGACTGGGTGTTTAAAAACACTGTAAAGGAAGAAAAGCTAACTAAGAAAGTGGATTGAGTTTTGGTGGCTAATGCAAACATATTTTCAAAAGTGTTTGTGAGAGTTTGCCCTGCGCTTACGTGAGCAGCTTTCCCATGAGGACTTGGTGCTCTTGAAGAAGTTGACAAACCTCTTAGCTGGACCTTTACTTTCCTCAGTGGAAAGGGGCACCAAATTGGAAATTAACCCTTTTGGCCTGTCTGAGCTGGCGAGTTGGTTCCAGGGGACAGACAAAATGTATATGCTGGTTTGTTTGCTCTGTTCCTGGGATTCTGGGGGTGTTTTAAGGCCAGTGTCACCCTGAATCGAAGGGATGCAGACCCCATTTGGCTCAGGTGTTTCATCCATAACATGAAGATATTGGCAATTTACTGGAAGATACAGAAGCTTTTAGACAGCTATTTATAAAATTTTACTTACTTTTGCTTCTTAATTCTCTTTTTAGTTGTTTTTAATGCTATTTTTTTGGCAGCAAAATATTTTGATGATCACACTGAAATACCCTTCATATTTTGTAGGTACAGAGGGTGGCTTGCAAGACGCTTTTGTTATGTCCTTTTTGTGCAAGAGAGGGATGTTCATAAGGGTATGTTTGCCAAGAATCTGACAGAAAATGTGCTGAATAGCAGCAGGTAAGATGACACAAAATTAACTATTTTTTAAATTAATAGCACATTAAAATGTGCCTTAATTTAGAAACTGCAAGTTTTGAAGATCAGACTATTTAAAATACTGGAAGATGCAGTATCTTTAGCACAGTCTTTCAGGAATGTAGTTTGCAATTTCTGTTGGGATATTAAAAGAGGGGAGTTTAAGGATTACAAGTCTCTAGATGAATGGTGTGTAGTGGGGAAACAGCAGACAGTACACAGAAAAATAAAACTGCTACATGAGAGCTCTTCAGACTTCTTTTAATCTAATTCATGTAAATCATTACCACTGAAGTCAGACTGCAGTCATCAAAAATTGTCAGTATTTCAGAAATAATAGGAAAGCAGCATTTTGGAGTACCCCAAGGGTACACCTGGAGAGTGCAGCAAAAAAATGGAAAAAGGCTGTAGAATGGAGTACCCAGCCTTAACTTTGTGGAGCCTGTTTTCTGTTTCATATGCCTCATTTTAAATGGCATCTTGAGCCCCTGATCAGCTGTTTAGGTATCAGTTTTCCTTGGACACAAAGAAATTCATCTGCACGCTTGCTCCTTGAGGCTACTTTTGTCAGAGGGCACACACTGCCTGCATTAACATTCCTAATTCTCCTGAATTTTTAAAGCATGAGTCCCCTTTGAAGATGATAGTGTTGCTTTTGAAAAGTAAAGCAGACTGCATTGTGCTACAGTCATGGTGTGTTAAAGCCACTTACTGTCTCTTGGGTATGTTTTAAAGGGGGAAAGTAGCCTTTATAAAATTTTGTTGGACTTGTAAAACTGAAAATTCAAGGGCATCAATAATCTAGAAGTTCAAAATAGCAACTGCATAAATCTGTCTAATGAGGTAAGTGAAGTTGCTGTGGCAGGAAAAAGAAAACATTAACAAAAAAGAGATTGCACCCATTTCCCTGAATTGTTAACTTTATTAAGCATTTCAGAAAATTGGCAGTCACTTAATACTAGTACCTGTGAACTGTGTACACACTGTTTCATGTACTCACCTTTGAGCCCATTCAGTCAAGCTCTTAAATTTATAAGCTCTTAAATTAGAGCTTATAAAACTAAATTCAGTATAATGCGTTTGGAGTACACAATAGTTCAGTGTGGATGCTTTTTATGTCTGCAAGTTACTCCTGTAATAATGCATAGCTCATTCTGAGCTGTTGTTGTCTGTGTCTTGGACTCTTCTGTTGTGGAGCTGTCTCATAAACTTTACTTTTTAATATTAGAGTCCAGAAGGCCATTGTAGATGAAGCTTCTGAACCAAGTACTCCAGGTAGTTTTGTTCAGACGGATCCTAAAGCTATCAACAAAGTGAAGAAAAAAGCTAGGAAAATTCTCCAGGAAATGGTGGCAAATGTGTCACCTGCTTTAATCAGGTAAGAAAAATGTGTCATCGATATTGTCAGTGAGTGGAAGGATGGCCAAGCTTGTCTGCATAATACTAACAGACCTTGTAACACATGATGCAGAAATAATAATTATTCTAAAAATACATTATTCACAAAAGTCCCCTTTTTAATGTTAGCTAATAAAATAGTAATTAATCTTAATTTTCAGATGCAGCAGAAATCCTCTGCCTTTCTAAGGAATATATCTTAAGAAAAGATTAAATACAAACTTTTCATTTTCTCCCAAAACGAGTTTTGGTGCTAATACTTAGACCAGTATTGGCATCGTTTGCTGTTTCAAGCTCATATGGGCAAGAGCATCTATCTGCAGCATCATAGACTGAAGGACAATTTTTCCATTTGGTTATTCAACGTTATAATTTGTAAATCTCAAAGAGAGTCTTATTTTAGATAAAATCTTCTCCTGTAGTGTCTACATTTACTACTAAGGATGATTTTGTCATTTTCCTAGTTCATAGCCTTCACTGAGGTTGATACAAGATTTGTGTCATAACAGAGGAGGCTGAAATGTGGCTACTAACCATAGGCAAAACTTTGTTTAGCAATTGGATTTTATTGTAATTTTGTTTGAATATAAGTTATCAGATGAACTGGCTTTGCCTTTAGTCATACAGAAGCAATATAAAACAGAGGCAGAAATAAATGAAGCTTTTTGAATTATGTTTGTGTTCCCCTAGGTTGACTGGCTGGGTGTTACTGAAGTTGTTTAACAGCTTCTTCTGGAATATCCAGATCCACAGAGGTCAAATAGAAATGGTCAAAGCAGCAACAGAGGTAAGGGAGGGTGGGAAAATCCAGTGAGGTAGATTTCTGAATTAGTTTCTAATAATGTTTGCAGCACTTCTGTTTTTGTGAGAGTTCTTCTAAGTCTGTATGAAATGCAATTGTAGGTAGAATTGTTTCATATCTGAAATACAATAAGAACACTATGAAACAGTGTTCTTAATTAAATATATGCTCCTAGAGTTGTGCAACCTAAAATATTATGTGAACTCTGGGCTTACCTTTGATTCAGGATCAAATTTTAACTATCAGGCTGAATGATTATCTCAGATAACCTTGCATCCAGCATAATCTCTGGTTTCTTGAGCTGGGGCAGCCAGCAAATAAATTAGTAGATCTAGTCAGGACTTTTCATTTTTACTGTGATTTGGCATAAAAGCTTTTAAGAAAAAAACTTCCTACTTCTTACTAGCAATCTATTTCCAGTTTTTCAACATTTATTGAAATTGGTCAAACAAACTCCAAAATACTGCCATTTTCTTTACACTCAAATTAATTAACTCTTCTTGCAGGATTTACCTTAGAAATATTGATTAGATAAATGAAACAAATAGAAAAGTTCCTGTTCTTTTCTGGATCTTTTTGAATACTATGTTTGGGAAACCCACTATTCATAAATCCTTGCTAATATCCAATAGAAATACCAGTACTTTGGTGGCAGTGAGGAGTTTTCCACATCCCTTTTTTTGGTTTTGATTCAGTTGTTTGATTAGTGTCTCAACACTGTGAGTCTGAAGAAACTGGGAGATTAATCATTGTTAATGTAATGGATACAATTGAAAACTACAGTCCATGAAAACGAAGGACAAATTGACTAGAATGTTCTCATTGTCCCAGCTGAAGGAAAGCCAGGAGTAAACAGACTCAGTTATGGTTACATGGAAATACTGTCAGTTCAGATGAGATGATAATAGCAATCTCAACAGTGGATTTAAGAAAAGGAATAATATTGCATGTTTCTTACCAACTGAATTGTTTCTTTTTTCCTTCTCTCCCCACCATAGATGAATTTGCCTCTTATCTTTTTGCCTGTTCACAAATCCCACATTGACTACCTGCTTCTTACATTCATTCTTTTCTGCCATAACATCAAAGCACCCTACATAGCTGCAGGGAACAATCTCAACATCCCCATCTTCAGGTAATGACCTCTCCTTATTTGAAATAAGACTGAGGTGGTGGGATCTGATCTATTGCACAAAATGTCCAAATATAAAATTATCTGACTGTTATTGGGCCATCATGTAGAACTTCTTTGGTTCCTATGATATGTTCAGAGAGGGAGCATCACAGCATCCTTCTGAGAAGCTCTGTTACAACCTTAGTAGGGTAAGGAGGAAGGATACTCCTTTTTTGGAGTCTCAAAATGGTTAGGTGACTAAGGAAAGATGATATGGGAGAAAGAGTTGTGAATGGACTGCTCTTCGTGAGCTTCAGTTTAGTGAGCTGGCTAATGAGCAGCAACAGTATTAGGTGAATAATACTTTGTGGAAAAATATTCTACTTGAGTCTGTGTTTATATTACTGATGGCTGAAGAACTTGAGGTATTTTAGGTAATGTTTTGCAATTGAGACAGAATTTGGGCATATTTGATATCTTAAAAAAACAGAAGATATTATAGGAAATTATGAGGAAAGAAGGGGAATACCTTGAATTCGAGGATGTTTTACACCAGTAGGTGCTGCTCTGTCAAAATCCCAGTGAAAAAGGCATTCATATAAAATATCAATTAGTTAGCTAGTTCTTAGGGCCAGCAGAATAAAGAAAGTTTAGCATAGATAGTCTAACATTACTTCAGGAGCTGGGCACCTTGAATTCTGCTGCATTCAGCAGGCCCATGATCCACACATAGCACCCTGTCTGCAGAAAGGAGTATTCCTATTTGGTCTTTTGAGCCAGTAAAGGATTTTCTTGCAAGAAAACAACCCTATTCATCATTGCTTCTGTCAAGCAGAAGGGATGTCCTCATGAGAACCTCTTGCTACACTAAGAGATAAATGCAGGAGGACCATGCAGGTGGTGTAATTGCTGGTGCCAAATGGGAGCTGCCTGCAGATTGCTATGTTAAAATCAGCTGGCTGAGCTGATTTTGCAGCTGAGGGGAGTGTGCAGCACACCACGGGCATGCAGGCCACACAGTCTGTGCAGCACAGCACGGATTTGGACCAGTTCAGGTTAACTCTTACATGGGTCACCAGCATCTTAGTGTGCAACAATCTCCTGGCCAGTGGCCTGTCAAGGCAGTGAAATGGAGCAAGACAGTGTAAAGAAGCCTATTCATAAGTGAAATATCATGTGCAATATCCCATCATGTGCAAGTAGTGTAATACATTTTAGTCTTTAAGAATTTCAGTTACTTGAATCCCTGTTGTGTACAAGGAATTATTTGTCGGAGGTGTATTAGTTTCCTGCAAACTGAAATCAATGAGTGTAATCCTTCTTTGGTGTGTAGCACATTGATCCGCAAGCTGGGAGGATTTTTCATCCGTCGGAAGTTGGATCAGAACCCTGACGGTCGTAAGGATTTCCTGTACAGAGCTTTGCTCTACGTGGTGTGTATTTCTTGTCTTTCTGTAGGTAGTATTTTACTTGGGTGGCAAGTGGGAAAGTGAGTTCCATCACTCTGGAGATGTATTTATTGCTTTGAATTTGTCTTAAGTTTTATGCTGCAAAAAGGGGACTCGTTTTTGCATGAAGGTTTGAATTTATAGAATAAAGAAAGTTGCATGCTCGGGCCCTTTGAGGATGAGCAGATATCCACCTTGCATAATCCTTATGAAAGAATGTGTAATTAATGGTCTCTGAGTTAACTTATGCTTGTTTCACTCATGTCCTAATGAAGTCTCTGTTCGTGATGGGTTGATGTAATCCTTTGTGCCATTCAGTGTAGTAGCTGTATCGGCATTTTGGAAGATGGGATGTGCTGGGGAACCAGAAGAAAAGATGAATGCAAATCAACTGCATGATTGCTAGAGATGCTTTTTGAGCAAATGCCATTATACTGCTCGTATATTCATGCAAATTCAGTTGCACATAGGTCTGGTCTTGTGTCAGGCATTAATTAATTTCTGGGGTTTTTCTTTCCACAAGTACTCATGCCAAGTCATGATCTTCCAATGCTTTCAAAAGGAAATGGATGCCAACAATATATTAGAAATACAATTGTATGTTATTATACATATGTATCCCAATATGATTGGATACTTATTTTTTCTCTTTTCCGATCTTTTTGTATTCAGCACATAGAAGAATTGCTGAGACAGCAGCAGTTTCTAGAAATATTCTTGGAAGGCACACGGTCTCGAAGTGGAAAGACATCTGGAGCTCGAGCTGGGCTTTTGTCTGTGGTGGTGGATGCTCTCTTCTCAAATGCTACTCCCGATGTCCTAATTATACCTGTGGGAATCTCCTATGATCGCATAATTGAAGGTCACTATAACAGTGAACAGCTGGTAAGAGCAATCCAACAACTTGTTTTGCCTAGGGGACTTTCTGCTTATGTGCAGGAAAACATAGTTAAAGGTTGTGGTCGTCCTCTGTTCCATGGTCTCATGGTTTGTGTTGAGCCATGAGTCACAAAATGGGGAGTGCTGAGGTACAGGTGACACACTTCCAAATGCAAATTCATGACATGACAAGTAATATGTTCAAGGGGATATCTACAGAGAAAAATAGTTCTCTAGATTTACTTGAAGTTACAAGGTGTGTCAAAAGCTCTGGCCTTGCTTTGTCTGCTGTTGCATGCATTTTAATTTTAAACATAACCTTTTACTTGCAAATGGAAGAAAAGCAAAACAACCACCTATGTTTTCTAGGGCAAGCCTAAGAAGAATGAAAGCCTTTGGAGTATAGCTAGAGGAGTCTTCAGAATGCTGCGGAAGAATTATGGGTGTGTCAGAGTAGATTTTGCACAACCATTTTCCTTAAAAGTAAGTTTGGCATCTTGAAAGTCTTTTTGACAGTTTGACATTTTTGGTATTTCAATCGTGGGACACATTTATTTTGATTTTCTCTTTGGGGTTATCATCACTAGCATTATCTGTGTCAGTCCATTCTGACAGGACAAAAGTATCCCTGTTTTTGATGAATGTGTGAGTCTTTGGACACACTTGTTTTAAGCTGAAATAGTCTCAGAGTTGATATATTAGTTTTGAAACAGTCTAAGTATTTTTACTGGTGGGATTTTTTGTTTGTTTAACAAGCAATCTTTAAAATTATTCTTCTACTATTTAGTAATTCTTTACATTGTAGAGACATTTGGAGTTGAAGGAAGCTGAATACTGTTTTCCAGTTTAATGACATCTGCAGTGGTTGAGGAAGGGCATTTATCCGAATAGATTTTTAAAATTGCTAAGCAGATTAGTAGCTATGAAAGTGTCATGGGTAATATATCATAAAAATCTATATATTCTTTGAAAGTCATCATTCATTATTAGTTCACAACTTTTACCTACAGTACTTCACCATATACTGTTCTATAGTTTCTCAGAGGATGGGATAGTGTAGCAGTGTCTGCCTTTACTCTAAATTTTCTCTGATCTCTTTGCAGAATCTGCTGGTACTAATCTACATTTCACTAATCTGTATTCTGTCACAGTATACCTTATTTTTAGTGTGACTTTAATGAGATTAAGCACTGCAACAGCAACTTACTAGAACATTATTCAAATTAATTAGGTGTTCTTCTTTCTGCCCTACTTCTCTCAGAAAAGCAGTAGGGTTGGAGAGGTTTGGAGGGTTCAGTTACCACAGCATGAAATTATTGTGACCGGCTGCACTGCATTATAATTAGTGTAGTAGGGAAAGATACTAATTCACTTCCAAAGGCAAAGGCTTGGGCTATTCTTGGTAGGGAGTTAACAACTCTTCTTGGATCAGTGTAAGGAAAAGAGGGTTATCTGCCCTCTTAATCTAGTGAAATGCTAATCACTCTGTACCTTCCCAGGAGCTTCTGTCAGGTCTTATTTATACCTATGTTCCTTATTGTGCTCCAGAACAGTAATAAATAACATAAGTCCTTAAATCATGAATAATTTAAATTTGTATAAATTAGCTCAGATTTGCAGAAATGTAACTGTAGTTGTGTTACTGCAGGTTTTTCTAAAGCAGATGAGCTTTGGGGGTTAATTTTGGGCGTCTGCAGTTCTGTGAGCACAGGCTTAGAAGTAGAAGAGAGTGTGAAAGAGGCTGTGGAAGTCTTTTAAGCAGCTTTCCTGGGAGGGAACTGTTTTCCTGACCAGCAGGTTAAGTGGCTCTTTAGTTTCCCATTCTTTACAGAAACTGAGGGAACACGGTGTCCTGAAAACAGAAGAGTGTAAATTTTAACCTATAAGGAGAGGAGTTTGGCTTTTGAGAAATTTGGATTAAGGAATTCCAAGCATGCAGTACCCTGCCTGCTTCCTGGGGGCTTTAGTTTGTGTCTTGGCAGCTGTAGTTTTGTACGCTAGTGTTTTCCCTTGGAGAAGTTCTCTCTCCTGGCATTTGAGGAAGGCAGGAGTAAGCAATAATTACAGTCTCCATGCTGGTTCTGAATGGGTGCTAGGCTTTGCTCTCACTCATGTTAATGAGGCAGTTCTCATTAATTTAATCGTGGAACTGTCTCAAAGGATTTGTTCTCTGCAGGGTGCTGACAGAGGTTATGTGTTGTTTTCATTGCAGGTTTTTTTATGAAGTACAGACTCCTTGCTGTGGGAAGTCTGCTTTTTGCATAAAATAGTCAAAAGTGAATAAGCGGTTGAAAACTTTTAATATCTCTGACCTTATTACTGTTTTTTTAGTGTGAGCTATTTTTAAGCAGTTGCCTTATTGAATAATTGTCTTTTTCCTGTAATAGCATTATCAGTTAAATGTAAGAATAAGATGGAAAGAGTACAAAAAATAACAAGTCTTTTTTTGACAGGAATATGTAAACAGCCAAAGCCAAAAACCTGTGCCTGCTCCTCTTTCTTTGGAACAAGCTTTGTTACCAGCTATACTTCCATCAAGGTAGAGATTTTTTTGGAGTGTTGTTAAAAGGGAAAACAGGTTGGGATTTGTTTGTTTATCATTTTAGTGTTCTGCATTACATTCGAAGCAGTGCTTGATTTCCACATGGACAATTGAATTGTTTATACAAAAGTGCAAAACTTAGGCAGTTATAACTGCAATTTATTATAAGAGTTACATTCTTCCTGATGAGTCCTGTTCAAATAAATTCATGTAGACTTCTTTCCTTTTTTTAAAAAATTGAGTAACCTCTGCTGGTTTGTTTATAAATTTTATGGAATAATATAAGGGGGAAAATTACATGCTTAGTGAAAAATAAAGGATTTGGTTTTAAACCTCACAAACATTTCACAAGGTTTATGGAATAATTCCAAAGCAAATAGGACCTGTGAGTGAGTGAGTACTCCTTGTTTTCAAGGAGGTGGCTGTCAGAACTGCAAAACTGCTCAAGGGTTAGTTCTGCATTTATTACATAGATATACACTTTAGCTGGCTTTTTCAGGAGTTATACAAACCTGTGTGGTCCTGGTGGGGACGAAGTCAGTCCTGTACCTTTAAAAAGTTGTAAGTCCATACGAAAGACCATTTCTAGTTTGTAGAAAGACTGGGCTCTGTTTTTCAGGCAAATTTGCTTTTCTACTGTTGTCCATATTCCTTGAAGGAAAAAGGGCAATTGGTGTTACAGAAAGTCATGAGTAGCCATAGAAAAAGCTTGTGATTTTTCTTTTGGTAGTCTTATAATGGATTATTGTGCAGTGCAAAGAAGTAGTTAGGAAAAATTGGTAGAGCTTTTTGCTGGTAACATTTTCTGCCCTTACCAGACTGTAATGATATTTTTGCTGTGGTTCACTTAGTGTATATAAAAATCAGTTTATATTACTTTACATTTTGATCAGAATGTAAGTGTCATCGTGTTAATTTTTATTCTGTGTTCAGATCTAATGATACGGTGGATGAAAGTGCAGAGGCCTCGCTGCCCAACTCCAGGGATATCACCAGCGAACCCTTCAGGAGAGAGCTGATATCCAACTTGGCTGAGCACATTTTGTTCAGTAAGTGCTGAAGAGTATCACTGCCACAGAATGATAGAGTGGTGTGGATAGGAAGGGACCTTAAAGATTATCTCATTTCAATCCCCCTGCCATGGGCAGGGACACCTTCCACTGGAGCAGGTTGCTGTCAGCTCCCGGTTTGCTTTTGCTGACAGCATGAATTTTCTGTGTGGTAATTTCACACTTCCTAATTGTCTCCATTCAGGTGATCATTTCACAACTTACATAATCTTGACAATTCTCCATCCTTTGTCTCCTTCCTTCCTCTTCAAAGTTTAATAAACTCTTTTTCTGATCAAGTAGATTTTTGTTCTGTTTGTTAGGCTAGTACACTAAACTTTCTGTACTCTGAAGTGCTTGATTGTCATATTGATGCACTCATTGCTTGTCCCTTCATGTAATGAGCTATTGGAGTGTTTTAATGGCATTATCATACATGAGCTCATCTAGCTGTGAGGACCAGTGTTGCCAGGTTTTATAGGTTATGTGGTGTGTGCTTCAGTCAGTAGATCTGTGGTTTGTAGTACCAGAGATGCACAGAAAACAGTACTTACCTTAGTAAATATTTAAGTTTTATTTGGCCTTCTTAGTCCAAGTTACTTGGATTACTTTAATATTGTCTCCAGACAGACATAATACACTTTGTATTTCATTCGGTGGGTACAGTTCTGTGCCCACATCACTGCTGTTATTATTTTTAATAATATATGTTTATATGTTATATATAGGGGTACTCTTTCATTTGTAATGGTGTTCTGAATATCTCAGGTGCTTAACAAGTTTATCTTGTTCACCTCTAGCTGCTGACAAGTCCTGTGCTGTGATGTCTACCCACATTGTTGCCTGTTTGTTGCTGTACAGACACAGGCAGGTAAGACTTCTGTGCTGCTTGAATAGCCAAACATTGCTTTGGCCTTGTTAACTTATCTAAAAAGAAAAAAAAAGTATGGATTTTACTATTGCATGATCCTGATAAAAAAAAAAAGAAAGATGCACTTAAATTAAAATGGATTTCAGGTAGTCTGAGTGCTGATATTTTAGTTAGCAGTGGGTGCTTGAACATGAGCCAGTATTGATGGGATGATAATAAATACTCATGTGGAAATAGATTTTTGTAATTCAAAATGTTACGGTTTTTTTTAAGATTACATAGGTTTCATTTATTGTATTAGGGTTGTTTTTTAGATCTCAAATCACTATAGAATACTCTAGAAACTGTCCCATTAATTTCCAAATAGATTTTTCTATTCCTCAGTACTAAAGTACTATATCACAATGGCAGAATGATACTAATGTTTACCTGAAATCTTGTGCATGAGAGTTGGAAGAAGTTTTCTTCCTCCTACAAGTTTGTTTTGCAGTTTTTTTTCTAAAATTCCTTTAAATCTGAAGCTTTTATTGCACGTAAATTGAGAACAAATGGAAAAACATTGGTCAGTTGTATAATCCTGCTTGTGGAGGAAGTGTCACCATTCTCATCAGTCCAGTCTTTCCAATTTCCTAAAACAGTGGAATCAAAGAAGCATTTTACAATGTGATCTGACTCCATCCTGACAGAAAATAAGAAAAGGAGGCTCCTGAGGAAAAGCTTTTCCTCATGTTCCAGACCGGTTGTTCAGTTCTGTTAAGTGCAATATTCCCCCACTTTATAGCATAGGTAATGGAAATATGATACCTCTGACATGGTCTTGAGATATCTTGGGGTATTCAGGTCTCTGTAGGCTGTGAAACAAACCATGAAGCAAAGAAAAACCTTGCATTCCCAAATAGTTCCATGGCTGTAAAATATAATTACATCCACATTGCGTGCAGAACTACTTCATCAAAACTCAGTGAAAATCAGTTTTTCTGATATGACTGTTGTGCTTTGGATTATTGGCATTTATTGTGTTTGATCTATACTTGATTATGTGGTTTACTGATAGGCACCTGTGCAGAAAAATTGTTTAACTGTGTGATTCTGTGTTTATTTCTAGGGAACTGATCTTTCCAGACTGGTAGAAGATTTCTTCTCTATGAAGGAGGAGGTTCTAGCCCGTGACTTTGACTTGGGATTTTCAGGGAACTCAGATGATGTTGTCATGCATGCCATCCACTTGTTGGGGAACTGTGTAAATATCACAAACACGAGCAGAAACAATGAGTTCTTCGTCACTCCCAGCATCACAATACCTGCTGTCTTTGAACTCAACTTCTACAGCAATGGACTACTTCATGTATTCATTAAAGAGGCTGTTATTGGTATGTTCTGGGGTTTATTATGGAAAGATTTTCTTGTAACCCCTGAAGTCAAAGCATCTGCACAAAAATCTCCATCAGTTTCTCATGTTGTTTACTTTAATATATTTTTTTGCTTCCTGTTTCAACCCATGTTTACCTTAACAAAGAGTTTTAAAGCAAACTTGTATTTTGTTTGAGGAATATTTCTGTTCTTTTTTCCCTTCATCCTTTATCTTTCTTGGAAGTATTTGTGTATTGGTCACTGCCATAGGCAAGGCACTATCAGAATTCTGAGCCAACATGGCAAAACCTGTGCTTTGGTGAGCAGTAATTTAATGAGATTTTGTTTTGATCTGACATTACTGGACACAAAATAGTGGTTAAATCTGTCTTTTTTCTTGAATTGCACGTGTAATATTTGACTGAAGTGAGCAGAACAGAAGTTTGATGTTTTCCTTTGCCATGAAGCTCTTTGGAAAATTAAACTTTGCCTGTGTTTGTTTCTGCTCCAGCCTGCAGTCTTCACGCGATTCAGAGCAGGAGGTGCAGAAATGGTACCAGTGGTGCTTCTCCCAGTTTAATCAGTCAGGAACACCTGGTCAGAAAAGCTGCCAGCTTGTGCTATTTGCTTTCTAATGAATTCACTGTATCTTTGGTAAGTAATTGCATTGCATTGTCCAGTTTTTGTTCTGCTTGTTACTTTAAAATTACAGGATGCTTTCTGCAAGTGTCACAGCTCTGCTCTGTTCACTGTCAGTCAGTGTGATGATGGTGGTGTCAATGCTGTCACACACTGAGTGCCACCTGCTGCTCCTGCAAGTGCTGAAGTGGGTGATGCTGGGCTGGGCCTGGGACATTTCTGCTGTGCTTTAGGCCTTTCCTGAGAAAGGCAGCATTAAGAAGCCTACCTGGAGTTGTGAGAAGCTGGGAGAGCAGCTTCTCTAACGTATTTTGTCATTCCTGTCATTAGATCATCACTGCTGTATTTGCTTTCTGCCCAAACGATTTTATTTTTTAACAAAGGAAACAAAAGTCTTTGTGAGTACCCAGCTCCGATGAGTTTGCACAGGGGATAGAAATTATGTTGGGAAATAAGGCTCCATATTCTAAAGATATCCCTTATTTGCATAGGAGTGCAGTACTCATGTTGTGCCACACCTAGTACTTAGTGGCAATTTTAAACATGGCCTGACTTCAGTTTTAATGGTTACAAAACACTGACAAGAGCTGATGTTATCTCACTCTTCAGACTCTGCATACTTTCAATTTTAAGTGCTAGATGTTCTTTTTTCTTATGTGTAGAAGTTACTTGAAATTCTAGAGATTCTTGAATTAGTTCTTAGATTTGTACTCATATTTGATTTGTGCTTGTGCACGGAAGCATAAGCCAAATTCAGTATTTTTGCCTGGGTAGTAATGTTATCTCATATACTGGAGTTCTTTAGTAATATTATCCTTCTGCTTTTTGATTATTATTTTTTTAACTAAGAAAATATTTCCTAAATGATTATGAAAAATATAAAAGAGGTTGGGGTTTTTTATTCAGTTTCAAAATGTATGAAAATTTCTTGAAAGTGTAGTTTCCTTTGAATTCCAAACAGATCACTGTTATGAGTTTCAATAATTTTATGATTTTATTCCAGAATTGTCAACAAACTAAAATCTGGTTAGAGGCTGTTAAAAAGGGAGAATATTTAATGTGGCTTTCTACCAGTGGTAATGCATTTCGGAAAAATCCTGGACATGTTTTAAATATCCTATTTCACTATAATTTTTTTAAATGTCTGTCAGGATAAACACAAGAATGGTGCTTTGGGATCATGCTGATAAAAGTTTAATAGCTTGCATAAAAGAAATAATACTGCTGTATCTAAAACACTCATACTGAACAGGGAGTGATGTTGCTGTAATGGGTGTAATGGATGTGACTTTTTCATTGCATTCCTTTTATGTTGTGCAGCCTTGCCAGCTGATCTATCAAGTTTGCCATGAGTCTGTGGAAAGGCTGATCCAGTATGGCATTCTCCTGGTGGCTGAGGTAAAGTGGCAGAAATACTGTAGGAGTAGTGTACTGTACTATAGGTGGTTTATGCTTAGTTGTGAGACCTGTTCTAAGTGTATGTTGTTACTGAAAGCTTGTAACAACGTGCCCAGGACTGAGGCTGCTTCATTCCTGTTCATAAGCGTCACACAGTTGGGTACAGTCAGCCTGTGATGCTTCATGACTCTCTGTGTCATTTCATTTTTCCAGTAATGCTACTAAGGAAGACAGGTATTTTTTGTACTGACTTGAGACTTGGGATTTATTTTTTTATTGGAGCTCTTTCAAATATAGCATAGCTACATGGATTTTTACTTTCTACTCTAGAGGAGTCAGGAGTCCAGACCTTTTGTCATTCTTTAATTCCTATTCATTGATCTCAGAATTACTGTAAAACTCCTCAGCTTGCAGTGTCAGGGCTCTAAGGGAGTTGCTGTGTGTTAGTTTGCCAGAGGTGCACAGTGCAAAGAAAACCTTAAGAGTAGAGGCAGCTGATTAAGCATCTCTTTGCTTCATAAACTTCTTTTTGTGCACAGTAAACAAGCCTTGGCACCCAGGAGGAAGCAAGAAAAAAACCTCAGTCTTTTTCACCAAATGTCTCTTCTCTCTCCTTTTCTCAATGCTGCCTGTAATTGAGTCTCACCTGCTTCCATTAGATACTGGTTAATAAATGCATTAAGTCAGATGAGATTATAAAATAAACCTATTGCTTGCCTGGATTTGGAGCTTTACCTATTTACCACCTTGTTTTTGAAATTTAAGCAGGATGATCAGGAGGATGTTAGCCCCAGTCTTACAGACCAGCAGTGGAATAAAAAACTCCCTGAGCCAATATCTTGGAGAAGTGATGAGGAAGATGAAGACAGTGATTTTGGAGAGGAGCAGAGAGATTGCTACTTGAAGGTAATAATTTCCTTAGGCTACTAATGTTGAACCCTCTTGTGAGAGATATAAATTACTTATTCAGGACAAATACTGATAATTTTTTTGTTGGGGGCAGGGTTGTTTGTTTGCAATGTTAGTATTTTTGGATAGTCCATTTGTCTCCTTCCCATGAGGAAAACAGCTGGAGAAACATAAACAATCTTTACAGGGAGATGGAAGAGCAATGGTTAGAGTCCTGAAAACTGATAAAGATTCAAGTATCTTGGTTTTATTCTTTTCATGCAGTCTAAAAGTGGCACATCCAGCTGGTATTTATATTCAACCTTTATTTCATTTCATAGATTACTTATGTTGATATATTAGATATATTACTAGTTTTCTCAGAGCTGACACAAACACTCTTCAGGCTATCTTGCTAACACTTGAAAATTTCTGTCTGTCTCTGTGAATGTAGGGCATCCCTTCTGTTGGCTGCAAAACAGCAGGATGTCTTCAATTTTATCTTGGGAAAATAGTAATACTCTGGAAGAGGAAAAAATAGTGTTGCTCTGTGATGTCCAGTGCCTGTTTTGTCCTATTTTTGCTATGCTCCCCACACTTGTTTTAATACAAGTTTTTGTGCTTTTGTTTTTATTTTGTTTGCCACGTTATGCCTTGCAGGTCGTTTCTGGTTTCCACTGGTCTCTGTCACTGAACCTTTTGTTCCCTTTTCTTAGGTGAGCCAGTCTCAAGAGCACCAGCAGTACATCACTTTCCTGCAGAGGTTACTGGGACCGTTACTGGAGGCATACAGCTCTGCTGTCATCTTTGTGCACAATTTCAGTGGTCCTGTTTTAGAGTCTGAATATATTCAGAAGCTACACAGGCACTTAATAAGCAGGACGGAGAAGAATGTTGCTGTGTATGGTATGTTAAACTGCTTTTGGAACTGGTTCTGTTCTTTCTACCACGAGGTAGCCCAAATTGAACTTCAGTTTGTTTATCTCTGGGTTTTCTCTCTTGCAGCTGAAAGTGCTACCTACAGTCACGTGAAAAATGCGGTGAAAGTCTTCAAGGAAATTGGAGTAAGTGTCTGGTGCTCAGAGCTGATGACTGTTAAATTTCATTTCAATAATGAGCACAACTTGGACATTTCAAGAAATCTGTACAGTGTCATTTTAAAATCACTGAAGGTATCTGTGGAAATGTATTGTGGGTTTGGAGCATTTTGGTTTCCTTCAGGCTGAGGGCTGTAGCAGAGAGCACAAGCTGCAGAACAGGGCACTTCTTGCCCCTGGGAAGGCGTGTCTGGATGGCTGGGTGACTAGACATTTTTATTCACAGCAAATGAAGTTCCTCTGTTCTACTCTGTGTCCCTATTGAACAATATTGAAAGGCTGAGAGCATGTTCTGTGCTCAGTAACAGCTAAATTTAATTTTGAAGTCTACTTAAATCTTTGAAAAAGCATTAGGTATTGAATTTTGGCTTAGCAGTGATTGATGCTCCAGAAGAACCATACTTATACACCTTCAGTGTTCACCATGAGGAAGCAGGTGTTCTTTAAGATAAACATTCAATTTTGTGTTATACCACTAGTATTTTAAGTTATAAATCACTCATCTAGATTTGCAAGTGAAGTGTTTTTTCATCAGACCGGCATGGCTTTCTGAATGCCAGATAAGATACAGCATTATAATTTTGAAAGTATTGACATTTAGGCAAAATGTTGCTGGGTGTGGGTTTTGAAGTGTTTACCTTTAAATTCTTACATATTGAATAATCGAACAATAGTTGGCCTAGTAAAGGTATCTTCCTCTGGACTCTGAATAGCTGTGAGGAAAGCACGTATTGAATCCATCATTTTCCAACAGCAGGATAAACTAGAATGAAAAGTAGAACTAGATAATACTTGCTGGGCATCTATTATAGCATAGCATCTGAATTCTTGTTTTTAAAGTGCTTGCACTTTCAGTTGGATGCCTTTGCTTTTTTTGTCCCTCACTTTTAAGATTTGGCTGTTTATCCTGCACTGTCTCAATTTCTTTTCTTCCATAACCCCTGAAGGGCTTCAACATTGAGTGAATTCTTGTAATACCTAAAGACATTGCCATCTAAGCCTTCAGGAAGTGAAAAGAAAGAAGTCTTGTAAACGAGAGAAAACTTAGTACAGACCATAACATTTTAGTCTCAGAAGAGAGGAGGTTCCTTTAACATGGTGATGCTTACATGTGTTCATGCTGTGCTTCAGGTTTTCAAGCAGACTCAGCAAAAGAAAGATGTCATTTTGGAGCTTGGCACTACGTTCCTACCTCAGCGCAACAGGCAGAGACTGCTGGAATTCGTCATGAGCTTCATGGTGTTATAGACCACACACAGCACCTTTGTCCAGGGACACGAGGACAGGTTTTGAGACTGTGGCAAAGCCTGGGGACATTTGCTAATCCTTCAAACTGTAAGGTGCCACTGTCTGGGTAAGGCCTTCTCTGACTTGAACTACTGGAAGACAAGTGCCTTCTTACGTGTGCATTTATGGATTTCTTACAGTCCCAGTCCTGTTGTAATACAGCGAAACTCAGATGACACTTTCGATACAAGTAATTAAACATGTTGCAAAAAATGAGATAAATTATTAGAATTAGATGTAAAAAAAGTTTTATCAGTGTTACATTTTAAGTGAACTTTTAAAGACTGTAACAGATGCACAAGTACACATATTGGTGTTCTGTAGCTAACCCTGAGATCTTGAGTTTAGTGGCAACACAGCTTATGGCTTAACCAAGTAACTTTCATTCCAATTCAGTTTTATTGTTTTAAATAAATGGTTTAAAATTTTTGCTTAGGTAGGCTATATACTTCATGGATAAAGCCATAGTTTTTCATAAGTGTTAACATAAATGCCAAAATTCTAATGAAAATTACAGGTACAGATATCTGAGAATAATAATCATGTAGCAGGTGATTGTGAGAATCAGCAGCAGGCCCACCTTGCACTATTAAAACTGTGTAGTGCAGTGGTAAATTGCACTAATCACTGCTGTCAGGAAGAATGTGAGAGTAGTGTTGTTTTTATTATGGCATCTGTCATTCAGCCACATGAGTCAGGAGACAGTTGCCTGAATGTGAATATCTTGTAAAATCTTAGATTATTATTTAATTGAAAAAAAACCTAATAAGTTCAGGGGGGCGGTTTTGATTTTGTTTTGTTTTATTTTTAATTAATAGGATGTCAGATTTTTTTAAAGTGGAGTAAAGACTTGATTCAGTGAAATAAGTTTTAATTTTGTCCCTCAAAAGTTCAGCTATATTTTTGTCAGTTCTTTGGAAACAAGTGTTCATATTGTATTCTGTTGTTGAACAGACCTAAATTGGCATGAAGTAGTACCTGTAGACACACAGAAATAGAAACAATGTACTTTTGACTGTGATCTGACTTACAGAAAAATTAATTCATAGGCAAAACTGAATGATGAATAAATTCTGTCCTATGAAACAGGACTCTGGTGTTGCAATTTGATCCTTTTTCATGGAGGACTTGCACTGTAGATATCATCTACTCTTCATGTGAGGGCAGATTAGATTGCAGCCTGTAGTCCTGTATTTTAGTACAGCTGATTTAGCTGAAGCAATAACTTGGTGGTATGTGAAGCTGGTTTGCTTGTGAAATGTGTTTTCCCTCCTTTCTGCCTTCTAGATGAGGGAAATTAAACATTTCCTTTGCTGCATTACTTTGCTTGATTCTCACATCCTCGCCTTGTGAGCAGAAAATCCCCCAAACTTCATCATGTAATCTGTTGCTTAACACAAACGTGGAAAAGCATACTTGAATCCCAGCACTTGCACTGTTATGCCAGCACAAAACTGATGCACACAATTCGAGTTTGTGGCCAAGGAGCTTGCATTTCTACTGCACATTTGTCAACAAGAATATTTCTGTAAATTTTTTTATTAAATGCTATTAATATTTGAAAGCTGCAGTTTATAGTTTATTAGCATTATACTGTTAGCACTGTGAGATGCATGTGTTTTGTCACTAAACCAGGTGCTCTACAACACTTAAAAAATTTCTGAACCAAAGCTACATTAATATGGATAAACACTGACCCTTGAGTCGCTTGTGTTCTTACATCCTTCTGCTGTCTCAGCAGGACTGACTGCATCACACATGATTTGTTTTGTGAAGTCTACCAGCTGTTTAAGCTGTTTAGAAAACAGTTTCATCTCATACTCGCTGATGTGCACTGTTCATCCACTTTTCCATACAATGTTTGTTGCTGATGGCTTCCATTTAATATTAAAAAAAAAAATCTAGGTGCTTCTGAATAACGAGCTCTCATAGTTTACTGCACTTCAGCAAATCTGAAGTGTACTAACAGCAAAGATTGTACATAAAAAAAAATTTAAAAATGAAGCAATATGAAGCAAACAAAACTTGAGTCGTTTTATTAAGAATGTTTTGCCAACAGAGGTATTAGTTAACATAAAACCCAGGAGTACTGCAGTCACTGGAGTGTTCTGGCTAGGTGTTGCAACTAAAAAAATTTATGGCTTACATTGAAAAGAAATTAAAAAAATAAATCCGGTTAACATAAATCAATGAGTGGGTAATAATGCATGTGAATGCACATTAATGGATACTTATATATGCTGGGGGAGGGGCACCTCTAAAACTGTTTTGGTTTTGTATGAAAAAAAAAACCAACCTGCATGTGATAGATTGGTATTATGAATCATATGCCACTGGAAGCCCTTGCATTCTGCAGCAAGTGTGTATGTATACATGTATATATGCTAGTGTGTATGTTCTGACACACAACATCTATGCTTTTTCCTGAAATTAAAGCACAGAATGTAAAATTATCAGGCTGTAACAGTCAAAAAGACTAAAACCAACACTTGCACTGTATTTACACCTTCAGTGTCTTCTGATTTTAATAACTTTTCATGTTTGCTTTGCTGTTTGAATTCCAGGTCGAGTTGATTTCAGTAAAGTAAACCAGTAAAAGAGAAAGGACTGGCCCTGAATTACCACAACTGTATTTTAAGACTTTATAAAGACTTACACGAGTCTCGTAATTCTTATGAGCATCATACTCAGGTGTGCAGATCTTCTTGGGCCAGTGTCTTTCACGCTGTGAGAAACTTAACCTCTCCCCACACATGCTGTAGATGTCGTGTTTTTAGGGTGATGGAAAGCAGGGCTCGCACTCCCCGCGGTTCCGTGCCCGCAGTCCTGGGCTCTGGGCAGCACAGGGCTGCACTCACACCTCTCAGCAGGAAACACAGGCACACGCTTGCTTTCAGCTGCCTGCCTGCTCCTCAGAGACCTGCCCCAAGCACCACGTGGAAGAAGGTTGAGCTGGGAGGTGATGTATGATACTGTTGTTTTTGTGTTTCTGTGCTGATGAGCCGGGAACTGCTGACTGGAGAATGTTACTGTGTTTTACCTGTTATGTGTAATGTGTGTCTGTTGTAGAAGCACAGAGGTGTACTGGAGTCATTTTAATAAATTAAACTGTTTGCTAATATGACATTTAACAAGCTCTTCTAGTGTTCTTTTGATTTATTTTTGTTGTTTTTTTTTAAATAACTCTTTGAGATAATTCATTCAATAACATTGACCCACTGCAGGTAATTTCTGAAATGAAACCATTAAAATCTCTCTTTGTAGATGTGTCTCTACCAGTGTATGAGCTGGAGCAGAGACATTTCAAAAGCAGGTTGAGGTGACATCCCAACTTCTGAGCCACTGTTTTGTTGCAAAGTGGAGGTGCCATTTTCCTCTCTGTTCCCCCATCCCCACAAGGTTCTTGTACATGGAGTCTTTTGCAGTTCCTCTCTCCTCTTGGGGGTGTTTGTGTGTCATTCAGGAGCCTGGGATGGTTCTGATGCTGCAGACTTCCCTTCTTAGGGTGATTTCAAGCTGACCTGGAGTGTAATAAACACCTGCCAGCAATTGTGACAGCATCTGGCAAATGTGAATTAATTGGAATGAGGCTTTAATATAATAAAACCTGCACAGATGATCATTACCTAAATTGAGAAGGAGGGATGCTGCTTCACTCTTCAGGAAGAAAAAGTTATAATCAGCTGATTCTGTAAGAGGCCTCTAGCAATGTTCACATGCAAGCAAGGCTCAATTAATTGACAACTCTAGGCTGAAGCAGGAAACTTAGAATTCAATTATTGTCAGTAGCTTGAATTAAACCCAATTCCTGTTGGTGATGACCTTATATGTTATTTCTGTAAATGTCTTCCTATTTCTCAGTCTTTTGAAATCCCAAATGTCAGATAAACACTTATCTCTAGTTTGTTCTTAATTCAGTTTTTCTATAATAAAAGCTTGTCAGGCTTATTTAGAAGGATCATTGCTTTGAGCTCTCTGCTTTGTTCTCTTATGGTACATCATGTTTTCAGTAGCCCTGTGTTTTCAAGGTAAGATCCACATTGATCTTGAGTTGCTGCTTGAAACATTTTCTTTTCAGTCTTTATTTAAAGATGTTCCTTGTGTTTTGCAGTGCTGGGTGAGAATTATTGGCCTTATTTATTCTCCTGTACGTTGGCCAACTTGTTAACGTAATTATCCAAAAGGTGTTACCATAGTTGGTGCTATCTTTAGAATAAAGGATTTTCTGTCTGAAGAAATGTGCAGGAAATGTTCATCACTATGAGTTCAGGCCTGAGACACCATAAACCCCAAAAAGATTTTTGACTTTAATCTGTTCATAAAGCATTGGCAGTTAGAGAAACAAAAGCTATTTAATTAATAGCTAATTATTAGTTATACAAATCTAAGTGCATTTAATTATGCAGTGCAAAATTTCAGTTAAAGACGTATAGCATAATTGCTATGAGTAATTTGCATGAAAAGGTTGTTCTCCAGCACAGTAATAATGTTGGTTGTTAAATTGATAGTTATTTTCAGTGTCTCGGTGTTGAGGGTTTTCCAGAACAGCAGTCCCTGAGAGGTGAGGAAGCCCAGATATGGAGATGATGTAAATTAGGCTCAAAGATTCACTGAACCCATGAATGGCCTTAGACACATCACTTCTGATGCTGTTCTCTGTTTTCATTAGGAATTAATTTGAGGAACTATATGTGTACAGGTATGAAGTGGATTTTTTTCTTCTCCTTGAAACACAAGTCACAGCCAGAATGAAAGATTTTTGGAGTTGAAGGATTACTATTAGGTGTGGACACAATTTTATATCTGTTCTGAGTCTTGTCTGTTCAGTATCTTCATTAGTGACCTTGGGAATGGAAGAGAATTTGTTCTTCACATTTGTAGGTAACAAGATCTGGGAGAACCACGTAGTCCAGTGGAGGACATCATGATCCCAGAGGTAATGATATATCTTGGGAAGATTTGAAGGCAAAAAGGAGAAAGCCATTCCAACCAGAGCAGTACAGTGCATTACAGCTGAGAGAAGATGAACTGATGTACAGGCACAGGAGAGGAAATAAATCAGCTGTGCAGCAATTCTTTGGAGAAAACTCCAATTTACTGTCAGACCACAAGCAGAATGTAACGTAGAAGGGTCCTGCTGCCATGGAAAGGGCAGGTGTCATGTCGTGATACTCTTAGTCCTGCACATGAATGACAAGCACAGGGCAAAACTTTGCAGTCCATAAGGTCTCAGCTGGGATACCAAGTCCTGTTTGAAGAGCTCTGTTTGAATGATGATGCAGGCAAGATGGAAAGGGAAGAAAGTCTTCCCCTCAGCCTCCTGTATGGAGAAGAAAAGAATCTGGATTATCCCCTGACTATGGGAGTACCCAGACTGGATAAAAGTAGTGAATTTAGTCTTCAGTTGCACTGAAAAGAACCAGAGTAGATAATGTTTTGGTTTTTTTTCTGTGAGCAAAGAGAAGTGCTGAGATAAATGGCCTGGGAAGGCTGATGTTTCCTTTTCCTGGGAAACACTGGGTCCCTGTCCCTCTTGTTTGGGCCTTGCTGTGTGGTGGTGAGCAGAGCAGACAGGTAAAGCTCTGCTTTCCTGGTCTAGCATCTTTCCTGGGCAAAGTAGAAATAGGTTTGTACAGAAACGGTTTGGTCTGGCTGCTTTGGCTGATGGTTTGGCTGATTCTTTGTTTGAGACCTGGAGCAGCTGTAATATGGGTTATACTTCTTGTCTCTGTAATCACTGAGGAGTAAAATATAGAAGGGTTTTGTTAAGGTTGTTCGGTGAAAATGTTTTCTTAGTGTTTCTGCTGGTCAAAAAACAGATGGAGTGCCAGCAGGGAGCAGGAAAGGACTGGGGAAGAAATCAGACAATCACATTGTCTTACTGTGTTGTGTGAGCCTTTTCATAGAGAGAGGTGTAGGAGTCTCCTACCTCTGCCAGCAGTAAAATCCCTGGTGACTGGAAAAAGGGTGAGGAATCCTGCCCCTGGCATTTCATCTTCCAGAGTGTTCCTGGCAGATAACAATAATAAATTACAAATTAACCCTGTAATCTGTTAACAGTTTACAGTTTAACTCTGGCACTGCTTTGGAAATACTGAAAGCCAAGTGGTATTTCCTGAGCTGTGGGTTTACTGCTGGCTTGGCTATTGCATTATCTCAGGAGTTCAGGCTCCAGTGATTGTATCTACACAAGGAAAACAACATTTATAAATGCCACAGAACTGACAGTGGCACTCTTTTAATCCATTTTCATTGGAAGAGTTTTTAGGATCCCCCCAAAAAATACTTCAGCAGCCTCTTTCAGAGAGCTCAGTGCTGTGTGAGGGCTGCTGTGTAATTGGTACCTGGGATGGTTTGTTAGCTGCTCACTGTGGTGTGTCTGTAAAACCAGTGTCACACCTTGGATTTGGTGTCCCTCTTCAGATGAGGCTGAGGAAGGGCTGAGGTTTTGTTCCCACTTAAACTTTTTGCATATCTGTGGAAAGCTTCAGGGGCTCACCCTATGGCCCTGTTAATGTATGGGGTTTTTTTAGATTTAGCTGAGACCCAATTTTAACCATGGTGTTCAGCTCTTTTTAAATCAGACTTCCTCTTGTCTCTGCAGGATGGAGAAGGCCAATTAAACTACTACCTGTCGGAAGGCAGTAAAAGCCTTTTTCTGTGTTTATATTTCCCCTTCATTAAACTTAATTATCATAGTTCAGCACCTTTGCCTGCAAATCTCTCCCTTTGTCTCGCTGGCTGGCTGGCTGGTCATTTATAGCCTCTAGTTTCCTTAGTTTATCCTTGAAAAAATGTTTTTTAATCCCCCAAAAGAAATTATTGCATGTAATAAAATGAATGTTCCCTTTTCTAGGAGATGAGGAAGTTTAAATACGTTTTGTGTTTACATTTTTCTAGTAGTTAGATATAATATGAGTTAATTCTGGTACAGGGCTTTAAAACCTCTTGTATTCTTCCCTCAAACCTGCAGATTCTGTCCCTTTTATCCCAAAATGTTTCTACTCGTCTATGAGTGTAGGAAAACTGGTTTAGATATTAGGAGAATTCCATTCCTTAACCAGCTGTAATCATTAACCCAAGTTATAGTTTACAGAAGTCTGAAGCAAAAGAAGCATAGAAATATTAGAAGCTGGTATTTCTGAATATACTCCCAAGGGCTGGGAGACCAAACCAGGGCAGGAGGTTGGGTGTGTGTTTTCTTATCTTTTAATTGATTTATATGAAGTTATCCCTTTGCCAATGCAAAAGGCAGTAAAAATGAAAAATCTTGGAATCAGTGATACATGTAGTTAATTTTCTGAACTAAGTAAATTAAGTACAAATTGGTTATTAATAATTCAAAGGAAAATGCTAGATAAGAAATTGGAGCAGCTTTTCTATCACTTTCAACCATTAAAAGATTAGTCTGAGCACAGCAGTCCAAAGCTCCCCTATCTCTTATTAAAGCCTCAATTCTTCATCTATTAAAGAATCAGATCTAAATGATGCAGCAGGCCTGAGACCTTGCTGCTGCAGTAGCCTGGTGTGTAGTGCCAGGCTGCAGATTCAGCTAAGCTGGAAGGTGACTTTGTGCAGGAAATTTTGGGTATGCAGGACATCCTGGAGGTAACTGGCACACAGTGAGACTCCTGGTCCAACTAACTCAGGGTGATTTTTTTCAGTACAGTCTCTATGTTTCTTCAGTTCTCTCTGTTGCTACTGTGTGACTACAGCAATGCCCTCTGTCCTCCTTGGTACACTAATTTCTTTCTCCCAGCTCATTCTCACACAAGGGGTTAATCCAGAATCCAGTTGCTCACTGCTGTGTAAACAAACATGAGGGGATTCTCTTTATATTGCCTAAGAAAACACTCTTTTCCCACTGTTTGCCTGCTTTAACATTCAGGCTGTACTTTTACAATTTGTGTCTCAGATCTATCACAGGTACCATAAAATTGAATAAAGCCAGACTTTCCAAAGGAAATACGTAGCTGCAACTTATGTCCATGAGTAGAAAAAATTCCTGATGGCTGTAAAACGGGATTAAGGACTTTGCATTTTAAACTTTTTTCATTAGATAAGTATTGTAATTTTGCTCATAGCAAAACACAGAGCAGCCCAGCTCCATCCCCAGCGTGCCCAGCAGATG